AATTTTGATACAAAAATTAACCAAGCACACTCAATCTGCGTTCATTTGAAGTTGTCTTAACAGCAGTTGTCTAATAGATTTATAACTGGATAAGCTTTCATGCTGTATGCCCTGAGACTAGGATACATGTACAACTCTTTGGAAAATCAGATAAAGGAAACTTTCCCATGAGTTTTATCACTAGTTCTTTTCTTGAAACAGACACAAGAGGAAGCTACTGGTTATCATCCATGGCATCCCTGGACTTCAAGAAAAGTGCTAGGGTTTCTCTTCTTTTCTTTGTCAGAGTTTTTTTTTTTAATTGTTCAACAGGTGAGGTAACTAGGTTACCTTATGGCCTGTACAGAGCAAATAAGGAAGTTGCAAAGTAAGGAAGACAAGAATAGTCAAGTACTTCTTTCAAATACAAACAATTTAAGAAATTGTGTGGTAATTTTTAATTCTTGATTGAGAGTTGCACTTCAAAACTATCATTCTAAGAAAAGCCACCAATAATACTATAAAAAATGAAAAAAGAACAGTTAAAAATACAAAGGAGACAACAGACACACACACACTGTTCTTTGAGTTCAGCCATAACTGTTTCAGCTTCCTGAAATTTTTAAGAAGTCCCCCCTTTATAATATATCAGATCACCATTTTAAAGCACAACCTATCAATGGTAACTAGTATTTTTTTAGTTTTGTTTACCACTAACATAACTCCATAAATAGAACCTTTATAGTGTAATTAAGGACAGAATTGTAGAACTATTGTTTTTAATTCTTTATTCAAATTATTTCCGAAGAAATTCATGAGAATATAAACCCACTTGAATATAAAAACAAAAACACAAACAAGCCATGCTGATACAAAATTTACATCAGATAACCTAGTAACAGTGGATTGAATAGGGAAAGGGTTTTACCAGAAAACCCTTTGATACCCATGAATGACCAAGACAGAATTTCTTCTTACAAAATCAGTACAATATCAAGCAGACAAGTGATGAGAATAAATAAAAATATGTTTTAAAAGATTATTAGTTTATCTAATACCAGAGTCTCCAAATAATCATTGTAAGAATTATTTCATAGAAAGTAGGGAGAATTATTGATGAGATCTTGGGAGAGGGAGGATTAAGTATCATAAAAACATGAAAGTATCAATCCTACCTTCTCTCTTCTCATTGATGATGGTAAAGGAATGGAAGTACCTCCACCAATGCTGCTGCAGGTTAACAATCCACAAGGTGACAATAGGGAGGTTTGCACATCCTGAAGAATTTCTATTTGGGACTGATCCACAAAGATTCCATGGTTCTCAGCACATTTGAAATACTCTTTTCCCTGAACTAAATCATATTAAAGAATTCTTAGCCAGTGGTAAAATGCTACAGACTATACTAAAGTGGAGTTAGCGAGATAGTGTTTCTTAAAAAATATTTTTCATGAAATAGCTCACAACACAAATAAGTAAAATGAGGCAAATGCTGTGTATTGTTCAACTAACCCAGCAGGCAAGTTTGGCCTATCTTCCCACCTTGCACAGGTGGCCTATTCTGTCTGAGATGCTTCCATAATTGAAAAAATATTACAGCAAAAGCTCATTAAATTCAAGTAACCTGAAGAGCTATTCACAGAGAAAAGAACCAGCATGGCATAAATCCCATAAAATAATAAACTTACCAAGCCTGCCTAAGTAGTACGAAAGAGGATAAGGGTAAAGCCTTCAGTCCATAATATCATGACCTTGTATCAATATTCCTTATTAAAGTCCTTATGCTCATTTGGCACATAGCTTGATATTTATTTCCAAATGTTACTTAACTTACTTGAAACTACTATGTACCAGAGCGTTACTTTTTAAATGAGTACAAAGATTCCCTAAAAGTTATCACATACTCTGAGATTGAAAGTATACATCATTTCCAGATCAATAATTGAACCTGTATACGTAATTTCTCTATAATTAAAGTTACTTTGCATAAATCACGGATGGTATCCTAGGGTTTCATTGTACAATATGCGAGGAGTACACTATGGGTAAAAATGGCTGGAAATTTAAGTTATTGATTAACTGTTGTTAAGTTATTGATTAACTATTGATTTAAGATCAGCTTCCCTTTTTCACAAGCCCCATTCACGATTGAAACGACATAAACATTTTTATATTCACACTTAAAAGTTTTTACCTGAACCGTCGTTTTCTCCCTTCGCTTCATCTAAAATAACTCCGATCCACTTTCCTGAGGCAAACATAGTCGATCCAGTCGATCCGACATAAGCCACAGTTCCCACCAGGCCTGTCTCAACAACCTTCACTTTCATTCCAATCTTTGCATTGGGCCCCGACATCTCGATCTAAATTAATCTTCTTATAATATTTTCCAAAATAATTACCAGCTTTTCTAATCCACCAAATAAATGAATTAAAGAACAAATTCTACATTTCTTTCTGTCATGCACTGTCTTCAAGATGGCGGTGTCACAGTGATATGTGTACCCCCGTGATATGTGTACCCCCGCACACATATCACTAGTGATATGTGTACCCCCTCCAAGATGGCGGCCAGTGATATGTGTATCCCCCACCCCCTCCCTCCAAAAAAAAAAATAATTACGGCTAACTTGTGTTAATGGACGCAAATCGTTCACTGAACCATCTTCCACAATCAGAACTGTAAAGACACGACTCGCGAGTCCGACAGTTCTTATGGGCCAGTAGCAAACATCAAACAATCTATTGGAAATATAAAGGAATCGAAATTGTCATTTAAACAAAAATATATCTTAGGGATTCACATATCACTGGTGACTACAATCGTATCGGCTTTGTCGCCTGTCTAGCACTGAAATTACTTGCTACTAGCTCCTTTACTGGCTAGTACGTAAGTGCATGAAATATTTCACCAACTGACAGCAATTTTTATACACATATCACTGCGATCGCCGTTCAGTGATATGTGTATCCCCAATACATCTTGGGGATACAATGTGGATACGCATATCGCGGCAATCGCAGTCAATATGTGTATCCCTTGGTAAAGCAAGCGCTTTTGTCTGTCCAGCAAATTACTAGCTAAGCTTATATATGGCTAGTAAGTGTATTATTGATTCCAAATTGACAGACGACAGCGAGTTAGTCAGGGGATACACATATCACTGCGATCGCCGTTCAGTGATATGTGTATCCCCAATACATCTTGGGGATACAATGTGGATACGCATATCGCGGCAATCGCTGTCAATATGTGTATCCCTTGGTAAAAGCAAGCGCTTTTGTCTGTCCAGCAAATTACTACCTAAGCTTATATATGGCTAGTAAGTGTATTATTGATTCCAAATTGACAGACGACAGCGAGTTACTCGGGGATAGACATATCACTGCGATCGCCGTTCAGTGATATGTGTATCCCCATTATATCTTGTGGATACACTTTGGATACACATATCACGGCAATCGTAGTTAGTATTTGTATCCCCTTACTAAAGCAAGCGTTTTTATCTGTCCAGCAAAATACTGGCTAAGTATGGCTTGTAAGTGTATTATTGAGTCAAAATTAACAGAAGTGTGATCTAAAATCACTGCGATCGCTTTTCTGTGATACGTGTATCCCCTGATGTTTATTGATATATATCACTGGACGGTGATTCAGTAGTGATGTGTGTATCCTGGCCTCTCTAGCCCAGTGCAATTTCTAATCAATAAAATATTTCAAAATCGCACTCATAGGCACAGTGGGAAGCAAACGTTTGTGATATGTTGGGATACACATATCAGTGAACGTTGCTCTAAAAGGCCCGGGTGCAAAGCTTCAGTGTTTTGTGTATCCCTACCAGGGGTACACATATCACTAGTGATATGTGTGCGGGGGTACACATATCACGGGGGTACACATATCACTGTGACAGCGGTCAAGGAAGTACGCATGCTTGAAGTGCTCATACTCTGTAGATCCACCTCGGTCGAGAGGGACTGAGATGACATAGCGTGAATGATATTTTTAGCGCGCTTTTGCGGGTTTTCAACTGAGCGATCGACACCTTTCTGTGATACTTTTTGGAGAGGGATGAAAGAGTACGACAAGTTTATCACCATTTCTAACTCTGTGGATACTCGTGGAGTTTGCTGGCTCTTCGGGTGAGGATATTTTAATGATCAAAGTGCGAACAAAACGCGAAAAAAGGCCGAAAACTTGATGTTTGAGATTTAATTTGCTGACGATCAAGATTTGCACATGAGACTACAAACCTTGAAGGTTAGTCTTAAGATGTTGATTTCTAATTTCTATGAATCACGAAGTGATGTGTGGAGGCGATCGCGAGATATTCATTACGATAATTGAAGGTAGTTTACAATTTGATCTTATTGTACTTCAACTTTGAAATAAAATTACGTTAAGTTCGAGGTGGCCCCCAAGCTTCAAATCACTTCAAATAACATCTTCTCTTCTTTCTCTTCGTAGTACCACAGAACGCGAGGCTTAAAAAAATGTTCCAGCTTCAGGATTGAGTTGCTCTTTCTACAACCTTCGGCGAATTCGTTTTTGGGAGGTTGAGGTGGATTTTCCAAGTCATGGCTCACAACTGTCTTTGGCCTTTTTGCTCTCTAAGTCTGTTGTACTTGGTATGTAGGCATGTGTCTTAACAACGTTTATAGTCTTGCCTCGATCATCTCCGGTTTTATCTTATTTTGTTGCTGTGTTTTGGTGAGAATTTTTCTGATTGCCCTTTTGGGCTCGAAGTGTTAACTAGAGGATAAACTTCGATAGAACTTGTTTTATTACATGGCCCCCAAATCCCTCACCGCTGTCAGTTCATTGTTTATTTATTTAGCTTTCGGTCTAACCAGTTCATTTACCTCAAAAAAATGCGTGGGCTTTGTATCCTGAGTTTAAACTGGTGCTGTTTTCTTTATGTTCATGTTTTATTCGAAACGGATGGCGTCAGCTTCATTCTATCTTGTTTATTTCAGTAGAATACTTCTGCCCTACGAAATTAATTTTGAGTCGAAGTGTGCTCTAAAACTCGCAGATTAAAATTATCTAACTTTCTCTGGTCCCTAAAACATGAAATGAGTGATACAACAAATGGATAATTACTCAAGGGGCCAGAACTCCTTGTTTCTTTAGAATGTGAACTACAGTATTTCTGTCATATTTTTCCGGTAGTTAGATAACGGCGTAATATGTGACTAACACAGTCTATAGACTGTAAGATTTTACGCCACTAAGTGCGTCGGTGTATATATATGTAAGATTTTAAGCCGTTAACAAACGGCGTAAAATCTTACAGTATCTAATTTACCGACTGGAAGAAATTATGGCGTTAGTTACTGGCGTAAAATCTTACGCTAGTAACTAACGGCGTAATTTCTTTCAGTCGGTAGTCTTATATGGAAAATTTTACGCCAGTAACTAACGGCGTAATTTCTTTCAGTCGGTAGTCTTATATGGAAAATTTTACGCCAGTAACTAACGGCGTAATTTCTTCCAGTCGGTGATATATATATATATGTAATATTTTATGCCAGTAATATAATTTAATTATATTTTAATTTATTATAATTTAATCACCGACTGGGTTAGTGGCGTAAAATCTTACAGTATAGAGACTGTGTTAGTCGCATATTATGCCGTTATATATATTCCCAACGTTGTCTTACTTTTCTTTACCTGACATTGACCCTTTTTTATTTTGGTAATCGGCCCTGACAGTTGTGATTCATGTCAAAAAAAACTTTTGAAACAAAACAAACTTCTGTAAACTTCTATTTTTTGCCAAAATTGGAAGTACACTGCACTAGCTGTACAGTTGAAGCTCTAAAAAACGCTTACAGGAAGGCAAGTACTTCAAATGATTATCGATAACTTAAGAGAGTTATGACACGATAAAAGTATACTATCCAATTTGTTTGTGCTCTTCAACAGGCCACTTGCATCCTTCAAAAATAACATCTACATCAATTGCCCAAACAATCACAAGACACGACTCAAAGTCATTTGTACAATCTTTTGCATTATGAAATAACTTCCTTCCACACATCACAATAATTTTAAGACTTTGCTGCTTCCATCTAAGTAACAGAAGAAAAAATGAGAAGAAGGGTTTTCTCAAATACTCAAACCATTTTTTTTCCCAACATATTTTTCTGCTTCTTTTCTTTTGCAATTCTTGAGCAGGCTAAGCAGGCGCATACCAGCAGTTTCTCATATCAAACTAAAATTTACAGAACATGCACAACAAAATGCCCCTCTGCTCATTAGATCAGCATTAGATTCCATCCACCAAAACCACCTCGGTCAAGAGGGACTGAGATAGAATATTTAATGACTTGCAAAACATAACTGAAGATTCTCGGAAATCTGCCAGTGATGTAGCCGAACATCCGAAGCTGTAAATCCCATGATTCTTGAGGAACAAACAGAAACAGCATGGGGGGAATTTTAAAGCGCGAACCTTTGCTTGATGGTAGACATGCGGATAATTTAGGATACGTTAATTCTGTTGATGAGGCGCATAAACTTATTGCAGAATTTGAAACAGGTTTGACGACGAAGTTTTCTTGCTTTAAAGCTGACAAAGGTTTCAGGAACACTGGTATATATTTATATTGATATAGCTCTTTGGCATTATAAAGCTTTGCTTTCATGTCCAAATTGAGCACTCTATCAAGGAGGAGTCATGTCTTGCTATTGTGCATTCTCACTAGTTTATCTAGTTCAAGTCCTTTGGCATGGTTTGGATAATACCACAATTGTGGAATCATTCGGGTTAGTTTAATGCTTTCACCTCTTTCTTTGGACAGAAGTCACAAAATACTCTGGGAAGATGCATGAGATATTTATGGAGCAAAAATTCGTTTTTTACTGGTGTGCCTTTCCTAATTTTGGGAAGGAAAGTGTTCAATTGCCAGCACAGCATAGATAGAACAGCTGGAGAGAAAAGGAAACAAAAAGATGCGGAAGAAGTGCTGTACATAATACTTTCTTTTTATCCACAACCTTTGTGTTACTGTCACCTATGGCTTGCTAATTCGAAAGGTCAAATACACACATGAATGGGTCATATGACATTGATCTCAGAATACTTTTTATGACAAACATGATAACAGTTCAATCTTAGCTAAATTGAAGATGGTTTAGTAGTTAACAATTATAAGAACTCTTCACTAACATATGCTGCTGACAAAGGAGAAAATATATGCAATTCTGCATTTTTTGCTTTCCATCAAGCAATCATATGTTGGCTCCTTATCACGCTATGACACTTCTGTTTTGTCACATTCAAAAAAATATTTTGAGAAATACACTATCACTCATCTTACACTGTTATATTTACCAATTACAGAAGGCCGCAAACAAAGATTTTGTTTTCAAGAAAATAAGATTTCTTGTTCAAGACACAAGGAAGTTTGACTGCAAAGCACAGATAAAAATGCAAGAAATTTTATTTTTTCCAGAGAACAGGGTAGTTCTGCCCATGTATAAACAGAACGAATCTGGTTTAATAAATCTGA